TTTTCATATTGATTTTGCACATTTCTTGTTGAGATTATACCTAGTTTGCATGTGTGTGTATGTTTGTGGTTTTGCGTAGTTTTAAAATAGTGAATGACATTCTGTTAGGAGCTGTGGCTCTTTTCCATTCTGCCTTATTTTGCCCTGATTTGAATCGTCTTCCCAACTTGGCTCTACTATTCTGAGTCTTCTAGCAGGTCTCCTGCCTCTAGCCTTGCCCTCCTTCAGTCTAGTACCCACACTGCCATCATGGTGTTCTTTGAAATATGAGTCTGATCCTGTTACTCTATTAGTCTGCGAATAGCTCTATTACCTAGAAAGTTTTACCATAAGGATATTAGAGGGCCCCTCATGACTTGCCCTGTATCTCCACATTCTAGCATCATCTCCCTGTAATTCCTTACTTGCATACTGTCCAGTAGAAATATGCACTGTCCAGTAGAAATATGTGAGCCCCATAAATAACTTACAGTTTTATAGTAGTGTTGTATGAAAGGAGAGAAGGTTAGCATTCCCCATGACAAGGATGGAAGAAGCCCTTGGCCTAACAACATGCTTACGGTTAAGGCATTGCCACCTACTTCATGGCACCTAACCATTGTTTTTTACTTGGCCATAAAGAAGAAGGAAACCTTACCATTTGCAGTGATATGGGTGGACCTAGAGAGCATTATGCTAAGTGAAATAAATCAGACAGAGAAAGACAAAATACCATATGATCTCACTTATATGTGGAATCTAAAGAACTGAATAAATGAGCAAAGTAAACAGAAATAGTCTCAGAGATACAGATGGTTGCTAGTTGGGAGGGGGTTGGGGATGAGGGAGAAGGTGAGGGGATTAGAAAGCACAAATTGGTAACCACAAGATTGCCACGGGAATACAAAAGACAGCTTGGGGAATATAATCAATAATGTTGTAGATATTCTTTAGGGGGCCAGATGGACTCATGTCTTCTTAGGGAGACCACTTCATGGATGTTGTAGGTGCCTGACCACTGCACTGTACACCTGAAGCAGAAGTTGAATAATATTGAGTGTCAACTATATTTATATATATATATATATATATATATATATATATATATATAGTCACAGGATGTGGAGTACAGCATAGGAAATAGAGCCATTGAAATTGTAGCAGCTATATACGATGTCAGAGGGGCAATAGATTGGGGGGTGTTATCACTTTGTGAGGGGGGTAAATGTCTATTACATTGTTTTGTACACCTGAAACAAGCAACAAAAAAAGATTTATAGTAGCCACATTAAAAATATTAAAAGATGGGGCTGGCCGAGTGGCTCCTTGGTTAAGAGTTGGCTTGGGAGCTCGAGCTCTGAGCAGCAGGGCCGCTGGTTTGGATCCCACATGAGGGCCAGTGACGCTGCGCCCTCTACAGCTAAGATGGTGAACAACAGCTCAACC